GTATGAGTACAGTACGTGCATGGTGTGAGCGCACGTGTGTGGTATGAGTACAGTACGTGCATGGTGTGAGCACACGTGTGTGGTATGAGTACAGTACGTGCATGGTGTGAGTACACGCATGTGGTATGAGTACATGTATGTGCATGGTATGAGCACACGTGTGTGGCGTGAGTAAAGTATGTGCATGGTGTGAGCACATGTGTGGTATGCGTACACTGTGGTATGAGTACAAACATGCATGGTATGAGTACATGTGTGTATGTATGAGTGCATGCATGTGTGGTGTGAGTACATGCATTGTGCGGTACAAGTACATGTTTTGTGTATGTGACTACATGCCTACATGTGGTGTGAGTACACACGTGTGTGCAGTATGAGTACATATGGGTGGTATCAGTACATGCATGTTGTGAGCACACACGTGGTATGAGTGCATGCACGTGTGGGGTGTGTGATGCAGGCAGCGCCCCTCTACGTGGTCATTTAGATTCAGGTTCCTCCCATATGGGGCTCATCTGTCCCACCTTGTGCTCTTGTTCCACAGGCCAGGGAGAAGGGTGGGAGGGGAGGTGCACAGGTGTGTCAGACTCCTGGCCATGGTGTGGCTCCACTGAGAACCGCCGTGTGGGCATGAACCGGCAGGAAGTGGGCCTGGACGGCAGGGGTGCCGCCTCAGAACCCTGGGGCCTTTCCCAGCTGTCAGTCTCTTGGCCCTCCCTGGGCCATCCTGCTGGCATCGGCCTACTAGAGTTTGTGTTCCTGCAGCCCTGGCATGAGCAGTGGAAGTGGTGGTGGGGGCAAAGTCCAGGTCAGAAAGGCACCCAGCATGGGGGCTGAGCTCTGGGCTCAAGGACTCCTTGAGGCACCTGCAGGCCTGCCTGTCTCCTGCATCCGATACTGAGTTCTAAGGGGTCCTTGAGGTGCCTGGGCATGGGTGGCAGGCACTGTCATGCACATCCCTGTGGAAGCGGGGGAGTAGGGGAACCCCACCTGCTCCCAGGCCTGGGTAGGTGGCAGGCGTGAACGCAGACAGGAGTCTCCCGGGCGTGGTCCCGAAGCTGTGACCTTTTTATTCTCCTTGGTGCTGCTGACATGCCCTGCTCCTTTACAAAGAAAACTGTTAGGAAAACAGAAAGTAGGCAGAGGCCACGAGAGCCTCGCTTCTGGGGGTCTGTCCTTCCTCTGGTGCCTCCAGGCCGGAGTGGGTGAAGGCTGCCTGGCAGGGTGGGGCGTGCACGAGTGCGTGCAAGCAGGGAAGCTCTTCAGTGCAGGCGGTAAACGTGGGTGGGCCGGCCCCCTGGGTGCTGGGTGCTGGGTGGTGGGCTGAGGCCTCACGGGGCCTCCTGCTGGCTCCTCCTCTCCTCCAGGGCTCTGCACACCCACATGGACACCACGGCAGCGTTCCCGTCATTAAACTGCACGATGAATGGGTGGCCCTGCGGGAAGAAGAGCAGCTGTCATGGGCATGCCCAGATCCAGTGTGTCAGTCACCCTGTGGCCCGAGGCCCACTCTGATCTCCCTCCAGCCCCTCTCCTCGCCCCTACTCCAGTCTGGGGAGTTAGCATGGGACTGAGGCCCACAAGGGGGTGGGGAGGGACCTGCAGGCCATGGGGCAGGAGACAGGGCAGCCCTGGCTGGCCACCCTCTGCTGCCTTTTTCCAGGAGACTCAGCCACCTGAGAGCTGAGAACCATCCTGCCACAGACTGCTGGGCCACAGCTCCCTTCCCCCTACAGGTCACACTCTGTGTGCGAGTGGAGGGAGGGGCGGTGGGGCAGGAGAACATGCTGGTGTGTGTGGTTACTCCGGCTTCAGGGGAACAGGCTGGTGCTACAGGCTGGGCTGTCTCTGAGTCTAATCCACTTCATCTCTGGGGGCAGCCCCTCCCTGGTTGTCCATACAGCCTTAGGGACTCCTAGGAGTTCCCAGGCAAGGTCAAACAGAGCAGGGACAGCCATGGGACTGTCCTGGCCGGCAAACAACAGCGCAAAATATTCCCTTTGCTTCCCAGGAGGCCATGGAGCCCTGGAACTCCAGGCCTGGTGGCTCCTGACCTTACCCTTCTGAAATGTACAGTTTATGTGGCAAAAGGCAAGACGGGCACCATGGTGGGCAGTGGGGTGCTAGGAAATAGGGGAGGCTGCCTACTTTCCCTGTGCCTCCTGGTTTCTGATACCTTCTGGTCCCTCTTTCATCTACACTGGCCTGAGGCATCCCCTGTACCCTTCAGGGACAGCCAGCTCCCGGGGACCTGCTGGAAGTCCGCACTGCCTGTCCATAGCCTGGCCAAGAGGAACATGGGTGCAGGGGCCCCACCCAGGCCAGTGTCTGCAGGAGCTGTCAAGGCTGGTGGGGACAGGGGGCCTGCAGACCCAGCTGGGTCAGTGGTCAAAACTGAGGGGTCTTAAGGGATGGGAAGGAGGAATTGCTGGGCCCTGTCACCATTCAGACAGGAAAAATCGTCCTGAGGCACCTTGTACCTGAGTGCAGAGGTCTGTGTGGCACTGTCAGGCAGCGAGGCAATGTACCCAGAAGGTGCCCTGGGTGGCGGGCACAGGGTGGAGAACTCACCAAGGACAGGACACTAGCTAGAGGCCTCCTGAGATCTACTCATACATGGCACGCTGGGGGAATGCCCCCAAGAAAGCAGGCACTGTGCAGGAAGGAGCGAGGCCAGGCTGGGTGGATACCCTCAAGGCAGCGGTGGTTTGGATGCAGGCTGGAGGCTGGGGACGCCCAGGAGGGACGAGCTGGGCTTCCTTCTGTTCTCCTAGCCACACCCCCTGTGCCAACACTCCTCAGTGCCCCCCAGACAGTGGGCTCCTTCCCCATGCCCTCCAGGGGAGCCGGTGCCCTTTTGAAGAACAAAGGGGCAGCGGTGCGCAGGAGCCGGGGCCCTCCTCCCGCCTGGGGAATGCAGTGTCACTTTCCCAGAATGCCGGTGACTTTGGGCCCATATGCTCTGTCTCCCCTGTCATCTGTTCGGAAATGAGCAGAGCGGAACCGCGGGAGGAGTGAGCGGCGGTTTCAGCAGCACAGGAAGGGCTGAGGGCCGCACTGCGGGGCTGCTTTGCCCGGGGACCCATACTCCTGTGGACACAGTCCATCACTGGCTGTGGAGGGGCAGGAGCGGAGACACCTGTGTCCTGCCTGTGGCCAGGAGGCATGCTGGAGCCTTGATGCCCCATGCTACTTGTGAGGGGTCTCAGACAGTTGGATTTGCTCCAGCCACTGGTGACTGAAAGCGAGATACAAGACAGGGTGGGGTCCGGCGTGGACTGCCCTGTGCCAGCAAGAGCCCAAACAAGAAGTGACAGGGAGGCACACAACGTCCTGGGTGGCCCTTGTACCTGGGCCTGGCAGTGGCTCTGCCTGCAGGGTGTGTGAACCTCCTCATGGCCAGGGCTGGGTCCTGCCACGGGCAACCAAGGCACTGCTCACAGAGGGGGCACTGTGTAGGTCACATGACTGACAGGGAGCTGGAGGCCTCAGAGTCTCAGGTGATCTGCCTGGGGTGTCCAGAGTGGGGCCTGTACCACCAGTCTCCTAGCTGGAAATTCCTGCCCTGAGCTGTCCCAGGCACTCTGGGGCTGGACCGAGGCAGCCAGGACAAGGGCTGCAAGCCTGGACTTGCCCTTGTCCCAATCTCGGTCAGAACCTGGATACTGGGACTGTCCCCTCCTTCCTCCTCTCCTCCCATGCCCCTTGTGCAGTGTTACAGTATTGTCCCATGTTACAGAGATGACATGGGGGCCCGGGCCGGATGCACTGACAGCTGGGTGGGAAGCAGGTCTCCTGGCATCCCTGCTTCACAGATGAGGGACGTCAGGGTAGGGGCTGTGTCCTTGGGCAATGACACGTGCAAGGGCATAGGAACCACGACCCAGGCCTCCTGACTCCAAATGCTGTGCTCGTGATGTGGAGGGCTCACCTGAGGGGAGTCCATGGGGCCATTCCACACATACCAGCCCTCCTGCACACTGTGACATACGCCTCCCTCCCAGGCGAGGGGCCCTAGGTGCGGACAGCTCCTGTGTCCTCATCAAGCTGTAGGAACAGTCTGGCACAGGTGACTGCCCCTGACCTTGGCCTCTATGCCAACAGCCATGGTGGCCAAGCCGGGCTGGGTATGCTCTCTCTGGCCTGGACTGACCCTCCCACTGTCCCTAACTCACCCACCCATGCCTGAAGACGAGATGCTTCTTGACAGGTGGACAGCAGGACATTCCCGAGCCCCTTCCTGGTCTGGACTCCTGGTCCAGTGTTCACTCAGTGACATCGCACCGCCTGTTTTTTGTTCTGTGTGGGTCCCCACATTTTCTTTCCTTTGTGGATCTGTCAGGGAGCTTTATGTATCAGTCTGGGACAATGCCTGGTTCTCAATAGTTCCCACGGCATGTGACAGTGACCTGTGTGTTTGCAGCACCCTCTCTATCCACTGAGCACTTGCTGTGTGTAAGAACTGGTTGAGGCCTGGCACCTGCACAGCCCTCTGCACCTCTCTGGCGCCTTCCCCTTACAAAGCTGAGGCTCTGGGAGATGCGACACTGCCGTTGAGAAGGCTGTAGAGCAGGATGCCCTTGCACCGCCTGCCGGGTGGGCAGACTGCTTTGTATTTCTATTTGTTTATGAAGTAGAAAACATAGATGGCCCAATTATTACCCAACTCTAGCATCTTTGCAGTCACGTTCTAGGTGCTCCACCAGCACTTCTCAATGGACAGGTGGGATGGCGATAAGGAATGCACATGTATGCACGCATGTTTTCCCCGCCCAGATCCCACAGGTCAGGTGCTTCCTCTCACAGCAGCAACTCTACTGAGAATTCACGTCCACCCTCCCTCCCCCTCACGGCACAGGCGAAGAAACTAACACACTTGAAGAAGCTTCTGCAAGGCCACCGAGCTGTCCTGTGGGCTCCGTCTCCAGAGCCAAGGCCCGAGCCACCACACTGTCGCTTCTCATCAGTGCCAGGACAGGAGGCGGACAGCACGTGCTATGTGAAGGTCTGCTCAGCTAACAGTACTGTGGGTGGTAGAGCAGTCCCACGTCCCTAGCTTTCCTGGACTTTTGCATGCGTTCTCTGGGGGCCCAGCACCTGGAAACACCAGGAGAACAGGAAATTTGCCAGGGTGGCAAGGACGGGGCCAGGACCATTAGGCACAAATAGGGTGCCCAGCATCAGACAGTGCTCAAACATGAGCTCTACCTTGGCAATACCCTCATCAGGTCCCCTCCCCACAGGTGCCAACTCCCCACCCAGCCACTGCATTCTCTGCCCTACCAAGGATGCTGCGTGGTATGGAAACCAGGGACCTGTGAGCCAGCGTGAACAGGGGATCCTGGTACAGGTGTGTCCCAGCCCAGTCTGCAACCAGTAGAACCCACTGAGCTTTTCTTGAGGGGTATTGAGGTAAGTGCCTGAGAAAGGGGGTTTGAGGAGCTTGAGGGGTCCCCCAAAGCCACTTCCAGCTCCAAGCTTTTATGCATTGTTCTGCAGGACTCTGTCCCCTTTGGCAGGGGACACCCTTCTGTGCCATCCCCTCTCAGCACTGGTGGAGGAGTGAGTGTCGGGGTGGAGTGAGATCTCAGAGGCCAATGAGACCAGGGATGGGGGTGAGGGGAGTGCTGGGGGTCCTACAGATGATGTTTCATTCAAATTCTGTTAATAAAGATTTTAAACTATATGGGGGTAGTTCAGAAAGTTCATGGAAAAGATGAAATTTATTTTGGCACAAAGAAAATTTTAAACTTATTTATTTTCCTTAGATGCATTTCCCATTACCTTTGGAAGACTGCCCCCTCTATTTCTGAAAGCCTTCATAAGAAATACCATAGCGGTGGGCATCTTGCCTGGCAGGTGAAGATGCCCACACCCCTGGACCTGGATCTGAGTGCCTGGGTCTATTTCCTGTCTCTGCCCTCTCCGTCTAGCTGGCTGCTTGTGCACATCTAGGAAAGTGGTAGGTGAGGGCTCAACTGCCTGGGACTCTCTGCCACCCACGTGGGAGAGCTGGATGGAGTTCCTGGCTCTGGGCTTCTGGGGTGTGACCCAGCAGGGTGAAATCAGGGGGTCAGTAAACACGGACACATGCAGCTCTGCCTGGCTCGGTGTGCTGCCCTGCACACTGGGGCGCCGGAATCAGGTGCCAGGATGCTGCCTTCCGTAGCTCTCAGGGCAAAGTGGGTCCGCTCGTCTGATCTGTGTACAGCGTCCAGCGTCCAGCCTCTGCTATGTGGGCTGGCCACTTGGAGGGCTGTTGCAGTGCACTGGGTCCCTTGTAAGCGCTGCGGCCTGTGATGGACGCTGAGACTGACATGGATGTATGCAGACATGTGGGTGTCCATGAGCGTAAGTAAGGATCCCATGGTGCCCAGGGGCCAATCACACGGCGTACCCTGGGACCTTATGGGGGACAGGTGAAGTTGCTTTGCACACCCCTTGGCCAACTTGCGCAAGTCACAGGGATCCTCTGTTACTACTGTCAGTGAGCAGACTTGGACGTCAGTTCTTCCTGCTACCCTCTTTGGCGGTGATGATACTGGCTGAGTGAGTGGTGGCCTAAGCTGGGACGGCAATAGGGTCAGCTGAGATTTTTCTGACACCAGGCTGCTGTGATGACACAGCAAGGTTGGCTGCACCTGAAGCAGATGGGACTGCAAATGCCCCGTGACTCTGTGTCCTCAAGAGCTGCAATGCTGTGATGGCTTTACAAAGACCAGGTTGCTGCTACGAAACACCCCACTTGTTTTCAGGGAAATCCTAAACTCCTGCAGTGGTTTCACATCATCAAGAGTTACACTGTTCACATTATACAAGGTGGGTCAGCCTTCCAGCTGTGTCCCCAGCCGTGAAGGTGGGGAGCCCCTGCACTGCCTCCAGTCCCTAGTGCCAGCCTCTCTGAGGTGGGGTGGGGTGAGGTGGAGATGGCAACCCTGGGAAGCACCTTCCCTTTCACCCCCTTGACACATGCAGGGAAGCTGCATTCTCTTCTGTTCACCTCTGGCTGGGGCCGCACAAGTGCACTCTTTAACGCTGACACCTGCAGTAGCAAAACTGATGCTCTCTCTCTGGTCTCTGGCTCTCCCTCCTCTGTGGGCTGTGGCTGGCTGGTGAGCTGTCTGCCAGCTTCCTCAGGGACATGGCATATCTCTTCCATCTTCCTCCTAGGGTTGGGCAGGGCAGCAGGACCTGATGCAAGATAGACGTGTGTGTGTGTGTGTGTGTGTGTGTGTGTGTGTGTGTGTGTGTGTGTGTGTAGTCTGCCTGTCTACCGAGCCCAGCTTAACTGGGCCACTATCCCGCCACACCAGGCCTACTCAGGCAGGCCTGCAGGGCGCTTGTTCTGAGCACAGCTGTCTCAGTCTCTGCCTTCTAAAGCTTTTCCAACAGCTTGGGTGGGAGTGGGGAGAAGTGGAGGGGTCCTCTTCCTGCTTTTCTTTTTTTTTTTCAAGTCTTGAAAAATGCCTTGCAGCAGTGGCCTGCCATCTCCATTGAGCCTTCCACGTTTACTTCTACCTGCATTTGGATGGAGCTACATGTTCTTCCACGGGGTCATTGGTCAGACAGTGGACCTTTGGGATGTTTCTGGGGTCTCTCTGGGTAGCCCCAGGGTTAGTGTAGCATGGTGAGCAGAGGGGCACAGGGCCACTGGAGGGGGTGCTGGCACTGCTGAGCAAGCGTCCCAGGGGACTGGGCTGTGTGAGTGGTGGCTGCCTAGACATCTGTACAGCAGATGGCATATTGGCTGCCCAGCCAGTCTTGGGTTGGGCAGAGGGGAGGAGGGAAGGCCAGAGGAGGGAGAACCCCAGGGACTCAGGCCTGAGAGGGGATGGAGCCTGCTGCTTCCTTTCCCAGATCTTCCTGCGAGTGCCCACAGAGCCAGGTGGCTTTGCTCTTTGTAAAATTGCTATCCTAACAGTACACCTGGGAAGGCCACCACTGGATCATCTGACACATGTACACCATGTTTGAGGGTGGAAGCTGGGGCTGGGAACTCAACCCAAGTCTTCCCCATGGGTCGCAGGAACTTGACTGCTGAGCCATCACTAATGCTGCCCAGGGTCTGCGCTGGCAGTAAGCTGCAGTTACGTTGACCTGACACCTTCACTGCTCTGCTAAATGCCCACTCTAAAGAACTCATCTTTGTTTTCAACGTGAAAGAGAAAGGCTGAAGGACTGGGGGTACCTTTTATATCTGCCAGGAACCATCTGGATGTTTAAGTATACTCGCAGGTTATACACAGTGATTGACCTAAAAATTCACTTGCTATAGATGTACTAAATCTTGAGCGCCCTGTGGCTGCCTTGTGGCCTTCTGTGACCTGGGGGCTGCACGTCCCCTACCCCTGGTAGAGGAAAAGGATGGGAGGGAGAGGCAAGGTACTCCTGGACCAATCTGGGCGGGACTGCAGACCACAGAGTGTCTGGGAGTGCGAAGTGTTGCGATTTAGCAGAAGCTGCGGGTTGGCCAGCAACAGCTGAAGCCAGAGGACTCCAGGAGAATACGAAGGTCAAGTTAAGCTTCTAAACTCAATTACACCAACGGTGGAGAGGCGGGGCAGAAGGAGGACAACTTGAGGTCCAAACCAGAGATGGTTTTGCCACTCATGCACCCTTCAGGAGGACTGAACAGGACACTTCAGGGGAGAAAGCACCCTGGGGACTGTTAAGCAAAGGTATGATCGGAGACCAGCACGACAGTAACGACAGATCTGAACTCCTGCCTGCGATGATATGGAAAGGAGTGACCAGAAACTCTGGAACCCCTGTGGGATCTGGGGTACCAACCACTACCTCAGGTCCAGGCCTTAAAGACCAGAGTTGAGGGGCTGCTGCTGTGGCACAGTGAGCTAAACTCCTGCCTATGGTGCTGGCATCCCGGTTTAAATCCCAGCTCCTCCACTTCCCATCTAGCTCGCTGCTGATGTGCCTGGGAAGAAAACAGTAGAACATGGCTCAAGTGCATGGTCCCCTGCCACTCGAGCAGGCAACCCAGATGGAGCACTCGCCCGGCCGTAGTGGCCATTTAGGGAGTGAATCAGTGAATAAAAGATCTCTCCATCACTTGACCTTTCAAATAAATACATCTTAAAAAAAGCAAAAACACAAAACAAAAACAACCCTCAACCCAGACTGTCACCTGGCAAAGCCGTGGCACTCGCAGCCTCACCTCTCGCTGGCTGTAGCTAACTCATCATGAACAGGTGTGCTGAGCACCGGTTTCTAGACGAGCTCAGTGTTTTCACTGCCCTCCTCCTTTCTTGCTGGCTGCAGTTCAAATGTCCTGCGAGGTCCAGGACAAAGACATAGCCTGGGTACTCTGCTCCTTGCCTCTGTAAGCTGCTATTTGTCTATATGCAGTGGAAGCAGATTCTACTAACATAAAGGTAAAAAATGGACCCTAACACCGAGTATTGTTTGGGAGGAGTGATGATTTCAAGCTTTGCTGAATTTAGTTAAAAATGTAGGAATTGGCCCCAGCACGGTAGCCTAGCAGCTAAAAGTCCTCGCCTTGCATATGCTGGGATCCCATATGGGCACTGGTTCTAATTCCGGCCACCCCACTTTCCTTCCAGCTCCCTGCTTGTGGCCTGGGAAAGCAGTCGAGAACGGCCCAAGGCCTTGGGACCCTGCACCTGTGTGGGAGACCTGAAAGAAGTTCCTGGCTCCTGGCTTTGGACTGGCTCAGCTCCGGCTGTTGCGCTCACTTGGAGAGTGAATCAATGGATGGAAGATCTTTCCCTCTGTCTCTCCTCCTCTCTGTATGTCTGACTTTCCAATAAAAAATAAAAATAAATCCTAAAAAAAATGCAGAAATCATCAGTTAGAAATGAGAGGTAGAACTGCTCAACCAATGGAAAGAATAAATTAGAGAAAAAATAATATTACTCTAGTAGAGAAAGGGAAAAAGTAAAAATGGTATTGTATAGAGAAACTGTATAATCCGATGGCAAAAAACACGCCAAATCTATCAAGCAATAAATAAACAAATTCAAAGTCTCGAATGAAATTAAAAACTATAAAATGTAAAGAGATTTGCTTCCAACAAAAGAACACAGATGTAAAGGCATAACACATGCCAAGATGATAAATCTCAACATAATGTCGATGGATTAGCCACATCAGTACCAGGCAAAAATAAAATTTAAATCAAGCTACTTTAGACATAACAAGTCATGACACAGAGATACAAGAATTCTTTGAAA